TTTGTTTGCTTTGTAATGGCACTTTTTACTAAAGTGGCTTTCCTTTCATGTTTATAAAATAAAGTATAAGAATGCCATTTCTCCATCTCCTCCTTGATGTACTTGCAGTACCTCAATTCCAAATGTTAACTCTCAAATTCAGGACTTCTCTTCACCATTCATTGTTGCTATATACACAAATAAATCCACAAACTAATAAAGAAGATCCTCTGAGTCTACTCATTTTTGTTTGTGTTTATAATTTTCCAGGGAATACCAAGTTGTGTTTGGTTTTTTCTTTGATGCAAACCATTCATTGCAATTTTTCTTTCAGTGAAATATCAATTAAAGTAAAATATATTAGATCCTAAGCTATCATATTTTCAAGGCTTACTCACCGGCCAAAGTTAAAATTTAAAAAAAAAATGTTCAGTCTAATAGAATAAAGAAATTTATATAGTTTGGCTGTTGGGACAAGAATGGATTCAACTGTCTATTTGTCAAGATGCCTAGATTCATTTTCCCTAACCATTTGCTCCTAATTGTATTTCCAATATTCTGCATGCCCACTGATATTTTGCACATTTTTTTTATTTTTTCTGAGTCTTGATTTTTTCTTTTTTCATTTAAATTAGAAACAAGCTTGTTTTACATCCCAGTTCCTTCTTCCTCCCCTTCTCCTCTGCCCCCCACTGACACCCTATCACTTCCCCTTTCTGCTCCCCAGGAAGGGTGAGGTCTTCAATGTGTGAATAATCAAAGCCTGTCATATCATCTGGAGGACAGAATAAACCCTCCCCCTTGTGTCTAGACTGAGAGAGTATCCATCTACATGGAATGGGCTCCCAAAGTCCATTCGTGTACTAAGGATAAATACTGATCCACTACCAGAGACTCCATAGATTAACCACACGTCCACACTGACCTCCACATTCAAGCTTCTGGAACAGTCCTATGCTGATTTTCCAGCTATCAATCTGGGTTCCATAGACTCCCTCTTCTTCAGGTCAGCTATTTCTATGGGTTTCTCCACCCTGGTCTTGACCCCTTTGCTCATCACTCCTCCCTCTCTACAAATGGATTCCAGGAAATCAGCCCATTCTTTAGCTGTGGATGTCTCTTTCTGCTTCCATCAGCTACTGGATGAAGGCTCTAGGATGGCATATGAGGTAGTCATCAATCTCATTATTGGAGAAGGCCATTGAAGGTAGCCTCTCCACTATTGCTTAGATTGTTAATTGTGGTCATCCTTGTAGATCTCTGGACATTTCCCAAGTGCCAGATTTCTCTTTAAACCTACAAATGTTCCCTCTATTGTGGTTTCTCTTATCTCGCTCTCCTCTATTCTTTCCCTGACTCAGTCTTCCTGCTCAATCATGATCAAATCTCACCCCCTCTTCTCTCTTTCTCTTTCTCTTAATACCATTCCCGGCACAAATTGCTCTCAATTAGGATATCTTGATATCTCAGGATATCTTGTACTTTTCCCATTCACCTATATCTCTCTTGGTGTCCTCCGTGTTTCCTAGCTTCTCTGGTGGTGTGGATTATAGGGTAGAAATCATTTGCTCTATGTCTAAAATCCATATATACGAGTGACTACATACCATGTTTGTCTTTTTTTTTCTGACTGGGTTACCTCACTCAGGATGGTTTCTTTTAGATCCATCCATTTGCCTTGGAAATTCAAGATTCCATTGCTTTTTTCAGCTCAGTAGTACTCCATTGTATAAATGTACCACATTTATACAACTAGTCTTCAGTTGAGGGGCATCTAGGTTGCTTCAAGGTTCTGGCTATTACAAATAATGCTGCAATGAACATGGTTGAACAAATGTCCTTGTTGTATGAATGTGTGCCTTTTGGGTGCATGACTAAATGTGGAATTGCTGGATCTTGTGAGATTCCCATTTTCCTGAAGAACCTCCATACTGATTTCCAAACTGGCTGTACAAGTTTGCACTCCCACCAGCAGTGGAGAAGTGTTTCCGTTTGTCTACATCCTCTCCAGCATAAAATGTTCTTGGAGTTTTTCATTTTAGCCATTCTGACAGGAGTAAGATGGTATCTCGGAGGGGTTTACTTCCATGATGGCTAAGGATGTTGAGTATTTTCTCAAGTATCTATAAGCCATTTTAGAATCCTTTATTGAGAATTCCCTATTTAGTTCTGTACCACAATTTTTAATTGGATTATTTGGTGTTTTGGAAACTAGCTTCTTGAGTTCTTTGTAAATTTTGGAGATCAGTGGGGTACAGAACACAATAGACAATTCTCAATAGAGAAATCTAGAGTGGGTGAAAGACACATAAGAAAGTGCTCAACATCCTTAGCCATCAGGGAAATGAAAATCAAAACAACTCTGAGGTAACATCTTACTCCTGTCAGAATGGCTAAAATCAAAAACACCAATGACAGTTTATGCTGGAGAGGTTTCAGAGAAAGAGGAACACTCCTCCACTGCTGGTGGGAGTGCCAACTCATACAGCAACTTTGGAAATCTGTATGGTGTCTCCTCAGGAAAATGGCAATCAGTCTACCCCAAGATCCAGCAATTCCACTCTTAGTCATATAACCAAAAGAAACACATTCATACAACAAGGACATCTGTTCAATGATGTTCATAGCAGCATTATTTGTAATAGCCAGAACCTGGAAGTATCCTAGA